AGAGACCTCAAGTACAAGTATGCCTTATTTTTGTTACAATGGAAATGTGATTACTGCTGCATCTACTTTTGTGGTGGTTTATTTTTGCAGTTGTTGCATTGTTCTCTTAATGCAATATCATGACAATGCTAATATGTTTTTGTATTCCTATTGTACTAGAGAACTGTTTCAACCGCAAACTTCAAACACCACAAAAACGTCCTATCCCCTCACATTGCAAATCAAAAGCCACTGTGAAAGTCAATGCCTTACAGTAAATTACTCTCAGTAATTTGGCATTTTTGGGCATGTGAAGGGTGCTTTTAAGTTACAAGGTCCGACACATGATTTGATATTACAATCACCAGGGTCCCAAGTGATTCTGCTGTTGTTTCACATTCCTATCAATCATATTTTCAAAATTTCAAGAACCAAACAGTTAAATTGGTTTTGCCTTAACAAGGACTAGTGACCATTAATTTTGGCTGAACATGAGTTTTCAAGTTTAAATTGTAAAAGGCAAACAATACCACATATTACAATAATAACAACAATGGCCATGTCAATATTTAGATACAAGAAATGTGAAATTTTCAATAAAATGAATAAAGATACCTCATAAACAATAAGCTTCATTTGGGTTAACTAAAGACAAACTTAGCTAAAAAGAAGCATCGCTTACAAATTTGGTTTGGTTTGTTTAACACTGGATCAAGTTAACTTTACTTTCCCTGAAAATCTTCCCTTGGGAAGATCATTTTATGGGCAGAATTTTATAGAGTGTAAATATTGGTGAAGGCAGCCCAGTTAAGGCATGTCAATCTGGTCTCTATACATAGTAGTTTTCCCAGTCCCTTAAAATGGTGGTTAGGCACAGAAAACAAACACTGACAGGGATGGAAGTGTTTGAAGAAGGTGAAGTGTACAACATGTACATGTGTATGACATTAGAGGTAGTTTGGCATAACCTGCCATTGCTGAAATTTAAGTTACAGTATAAGAGACCTAGTTCCAAATCGTAATGGTAATACCTGCAAGAGATATATTTGTGTCTGTATCTGTGCTGTATAAACACACTCTCATGCACATATATGTGACACACAAGCTTCACAGACATGTAACAGCATTGGTTATGTATCTACTGACCTGTTATACCTAACCTTTAGACATCTAACTCCAGGTGTTGTTAAAGCAAGGAGGCTCATGATTCAACCTCCCTGTTTAAAGCTATCTAGAGTGAGGGTTTGCTAGATGAAAGGGAGTTCCACTCTACGATAGTCTTGGAAGAGCTTGTTTCTGAACACCTACATCCTGGGTTGATATACAGTCATGTTAAAGGAAAGGACAGGTCTGTTGAAGGAAAGAGCCTTGGCCTTCCTCATGACTACAGGTGCCAGGTTACATGTATTATATAATACATGTAACCTGGCACCTGTAGTCATGAGGAAGGC